CCTGTAAGAGAGTGAAACTAAATGGGATTCAAACAAGTGCCCAACTACCCCAGTAGGGCTTTGCGTTTCATTTCTATATGTTTTGTGAATCATGGCATCCTTAACGCATTTAAATGAACTTATGTTCATTTAGTTCTCACAACAAACAAACAACAAGCAATGGAACATAGGCACACAAAAAAACACGATTTTCATCGTTCAAGATTTTAAATTCCAGGCGAAATTTCTTCCGCATTTTAGGAATCATGTTTTATTACGAAAAAATGAAGTAATTATTTCACTTATTGTACAATGTAAGAAAAATTGAACGGTATGAGAAACAAACGACGAGTGTTAACGATATATCGTCGAATTCTTTTGGCAAATTCCGTATGAAATACTTGGGACCAGTCTCTACTTTCTGTAATGGTACCCATTATGGCGTAAACCTTATTAGGTAAGGCTCAATCTCATAATGCTTTAACATACTTTTAAATCGAAAACATATTCCCTTCAGCCTCAAGGATTATACTATGGGGGATGTGATTTTACCGAATGGGAAAGCAAACGGAGTTTAGAGAAAAGCTTTTAATTTTAACTATTAAACCCATAATTTATGTTTTGTATTGGCTTAGGTATTTTAAGCAGACCTATACTGTAGCTTAAAATACCAAAACGCTGATGTGTGTTTCATAAGCGTTTGATTTAATGACTCGGTAACAGTGGTCTCCCTCTAATTAAAGACCGATCCCAATTAAAGACCACCTCTAATTAATGACCACTTTAACAAATTTAATGTCTCTTAATATCTCTGAAAAAAACTCTGAGAAATAAAAGTGGGACGATCCCAGAAAAGACGAAAAAAAAAATGTCTCTTATCTTCATTTCCTAAGGAGAGACCAAAGCTGATAGAGACCATATGGACACCCCGGTCCCAAAAGTGGTCTTTAATTGGAGGGAGACCTGTATAGCTTTTATAACTAAAGCGGTATAGGCATATAAAAGACCTACATTAACACATTTTACATTATTCATTCGTTATTCCTTTGAACAAGTAACTCATGAACAAAAAAAGAACAAGATAATATTCGCTCATACAGGTTATCTAATTAAATAAACGTAATCATTTTCTTTAAACAAATATTTTATATACAACTCTGATAAATATACCTTATTGACATCATGAGCACACGATTATTCAATATAAACTATAGATACATAATTATACAATAATATATACAAGATGCATGTCTATCATGCCAGTATAAATCCAGTTAATTGCCCATCGTTTTTTATTAATTACATTATAAAATAGACCCAAATAACATGATTTTATTCTCTTGGACGTTTATAATATTACATATACGCCTAGTGTCAAATATAATAAGAATTACCAGTAATGTACGCCATCCAACGAGTTAAACAGAGGCTTCTGATCAAAGAGGGTACGAAAATAATTATTATAAGTGGGATTGGTATAGTGCGCACAACGTAATACAGGCTTACTATTACACATTTCATTTTAAAATATTAAATATTAAATCCTAGACATAATTTGCGTGGAGTGGCATGGCTTACTATAACCATTCGGAGCGCCTGTATTCTTATAGAGCGTTATTACTTAACAGTTGATCGTTAATAGTGTAAGTGGCCATACAATGTATCCAATCTTCAACAAATAAACTGTTAATTAATAAAACTCCATAAATACAGACGGTAACATAATGTACGCCTATGATTTGTATATTTATATCTTGACCTTCGGCACTAGTAGTACAGAACTACTGCTTGAATAAGCATTCCTTCTCTAGATACTAGCCTTGTTTTATGTAACCCGACAATTACAGAAAGAAACGATGTTATTAACGAATCTTGACACAACGTTGAAGAATCTGCCAAGATCAAAGCGCCTCAGGAATAGAAATCAAATCGGCGCTATAAAAATAATATTGTTTTGAATGTGGATGCTCCAAACAAGAGTTTTATTATGAGGCTCATGGGAATGGAGTTGTTTAGCCAGAATTTTCACGAATAAACTATCTCCATTCCCTACGAGTCAGAAAAGATTTAGCTTATAGAGAATACATGGTTTCATTTTGTAATTGACGACTTTATGAAGAACAGTAAATAAAATAAAAAGTATTCCTCAAGGGAATCTATTTGTAGGTGTAATATAAAATGGCGAAAATGTTCCATATAATTCTACGCAATCGTAGTTGATTGAAGGATTATTTCAATCATTAGTGTAGAACAGATGAAGTTGTATTATTAGCATCCGGAATAAATCAACGATCGTCATTTGCACGTGTCAGTTCACGCACATCCGCATTATTATTATATATACCCAGTCGTTGCGACGTTCCATCCTGAAAAGTTCCTGTACACAGATAATAATAGGGTTGATGGCACGGCTGGGTCATACGCCTGTTTATCATACGACATCGTGGTTATCGATATTCATTTTATAGTTATCGTTTATTGAAAAGTTTTTCGAGATTTGGTTACTGTTCTGCTGCTTTGATTCATGTTGAACTTTCCAGATATATGTATTGTTTAATTTACAATGTAATAGTTCGAGATTATTATCAGTAATAGTAATGTTTTTTACATTGTTGGCATCCCAGACCTCCTGACGGATAGATGGCCTGTAAGGCGGTAATTTTTGTCCACTGTTGAACCGCTCGAAGTGTTTTTCTTCATTTTTCAGCATCCTAGCGGCCAAAATAATTAGAATAAATAAAATACAGGCTCCTCCGATAGGAACGGCTATCACTGCTGCCCGGAACCAGACGGCTCGATTAACGGAATGGTAAGGTTGTGTGTTTCTATTATCTAAAAGAAATACAAAAAAGGAGGGAAAAAAAGCACATTAGTAAAATGAAATAAGATGTAAATCAAAGTTTTTTTTCAAGAAAAATGACTCATCATAAATTTGTATATCTCTATGTGAAACAGTCTGTAATTATTTGTAATTTCTGATCAATAAATACTACACACCTAATCAAAGATTCTGTTAATGTCATTTTCGTTATTATTTAAACAGAGATTATTCTACAGTAATTAAAATTCCGAAAGCACGCCATCTACGATAGGTAACACCACAGTTCCAATATTGATCCCTGTGAGATTTATTGATATGATTCCTGAAAAACAAAAATCTAAAGCTTGGAGACACATGCTGATACAGTTACAACAAATTGTCACTTCGTGTACAATAGTCATATTCGATAATAGGGAACTCTCGATTTGCGCGACGATGCGACGCTAGAACGGAATCATTCATGCGTGACCCGTCCTACCAGGCGTCCTACGTTCTCTGCATACGTAGATTTTGGCTAAATTGCGTCCTGAATCCACGCGACGAGAACTTAACGTTCTCGCAAGCGCAGATAATTTTAGTGACGTCATTACGTTCTACGTCCTACCGTCGTCGTGCAATCAGAAACTCCCTACTATTATTATTTTATGACGAGGAAACCTGCACATGCGCAGACATCTTACAATTTTTACATGCTCTTTAATTCCTCTTCAGCCTGTCACTCCAGCCCCTCACCTGTTTTAGGGCTCCATCCTGAATTACGGGAGAATTTTAATAGTTCCTTGCCAGATATTTAAAGTTTTCAATGCTTTTCCCGAATACCGCTATTACAGTACTTTCATTTGTACTTCTTATAGCCTTGAGCCTGCAAGAATTTTGCGCCATCCATATTGATGAAAAATATATATTTTTACAAATTCGTCCAATGTAATTGCTCGAAGGTCTTTCGTAAAATTTAATGGCGTATATCAGCCTTGGGCAGTTTACAATACTACGAATAAACTTTGCAATCCAATCAAACGCAGTCATTCGTATACTTTCTGACAGCCGCCAATTCTATCAATATATATATATATATATATAAATATATGAAGACAGTGTAAATAAAGACTTTATGATTAATACGATACTTTCTTCAATCTAAACCGACTATCAGACGATTGCCCTGAGACGTGCTGTGTGAAAAACAACACATTTCTCACCCTCTCTCTGTCTATCTCTAACACTGATTTTGGTCATGCCGCCCCCTATTGATTACTCTATGAAGCGCAAGTAAACAGATTTTCATATGATAATACTGTACAACACTGTACAACATTATATAAAATTTATTTCCACCCACAAAACAGCTTTGGTTGAATGATTCCTGTCTTCTCCTATTTAAATGAAGGCTAGTACCTACCAGAACTTTTAAGCTTTACTACAATTTTATGATTAAATTAATACAGCATGTACTTCATTCGCATTGATATAACTTCGAGTAATTAATATACAGTTAGCCGACTCCACCAACAATGAACATAAAACTGTCTCTAATTCGCAGCCAAAAAAGCGCAAATCAGCTGTAATTGCTCCATCGACAACAGCAGAAAAGACGAAAGACCAGCAGTGCGTAACGTACAGTCACAGTATCAATATCACTAGTATCTGTTTATTGCGAAAACCCAATGGTCCGTATGCTAGGCGTCATTTATTCTAACTGCCAGACCAATGCAAACACCAACTAATCGAATTTCTACCGGGATATTTTTTAGCGCATTACTGGATAGAAACACACAGTCGTTTCCATCTCGCAGACACTATTACAGATAATTTATTCTAACAAACAATTCCGTATTGAGACTCTTTGCCTTCATGCATTCATTACTTTTAAATCCGCTGTTAAATATTTAACTTAATATTATTTTTATGAGTTGAAATTAGATTTTGTAGATGGGTTATATCTTAGACTTCCGCGGAGGGTTGGGTAAACTTTGTTTTAATTACAAAATGTCGTTTTAATTTAAAGACAATCACAGGCGTCATGGATCATCATGTTGATTGAAGTAACTCATTAATCGCAGTCAATAATATCAGTCAGTAGGTCGCGATGGATTGTTTCATAATGAAGTGTTTATGTTGAAAACATATCATCAGACGGCTCAAACGGCGCCAAGAAGGAGGCTGATTTTCGTATTAGGCGAAAGTGCACGCTTTTTGTTGCCATCAGCACTGAATGACTTGCGCAGCCCGAGAAATAGAAGCAGTCATCTTTAACGAAAAGTACACTCCGCGCGAGGGCCGTCTCCCAGGAGAAATGCGGCGTTGACGGTACTTGCAAGGTCAAATAACCTCATACTAAAACAGTAGGTTATTACATAAAAATTATAAGTAGTTCTTGTATGAGGCTTTTGCCACTAATGCTGACCAACGTACATGATACTTATGCAAAATTGTTGGCCTAGGTTCTTCTTATTTAAACGCTTGCGAATTTTCATTTTCATTAGATAATTGTTGGGTTAATTAGCAAGAAAATGAACGTCTATATCTAGACTCTTTTTGGCAACGAATGGTCATGTGTAGATACAATAACAGACCTACATTGTTACAAAACACAATAAGCAGACGAGACTTAATTTTTGAGTTGGTCTATAATACAGATTTTCGGCCCTGAAAATGTATGGTGCAGAAATTGAATGAAGTACAGTAATGATACGCCGAGTGAAATCAATATTGACGGATAGTAGATCATCGGTGATTACGTCACCCTAAGTGTTGAAATCTCTCTCCAGTTCCGTAGTGTGTATTAATTATTATAGTTTCTGTGATAACAAATTTCATAGCGGTTTTATGTATGAACGAGTAACGGGTTAGAATCGCTCGCTGTTAAACGTTGTTTCTATTGTAGTGAGGCTTAGCATGGAAGGGCCACTGAGCAAATGCAGACAGCAGGGCGTCGTGTCGGTGATGACTTGGCTCTTTGAGCTTTTGTAGTTTGTTCAATAATAACACTGACGATGGATATACCATATTTTTATTCACTTTTCTGAAATATTCACATAGCCTTCAATAATATATAATAATTGCGTTTTTTTAAACTACAACGCATGCTTACTAATAATTAAAGTTAGTTAAACTACTACAATCTTACATTAGTTTGCTCAAGTTTGGCTGAGTTTTTGTTGCTACGATTGACTATCATACTTAACTACGCGTAGCCTTATACGCGCTGGCCAATCCAATCTAATCAAAATGAACGATACACACGCGCCAGAGGCTTATTTTGTGACAGTGGCAGCTTTAAATATTATATCAATACGCACCACGTGCTAAACATACCAAATAAAAAAAAAACCATGAAGATACAAAACTATGATAAAAATCTAAGTCATTATATGCAACACAGGGTTTCCTTTACTAATACAAGTGTAATGTTACATCTATCAACTGTGGGGTATGATATAATTATACTTTGCATTATACCTGCGTGTCTATCGGACAGGCATGTGGATCGTGGTACGGTATTTAGACGATAGTAGTATATATATACTTATTAGACTTTGCTGCCATCATATTTTAAAACTTAAGCCTATATATATACTGTCTCTTATACACATCTATTATTATTATTATTATTACAGTATTATTATTATGATCATTATCATTATCGTTATCATTATTATTATTATTATTACAGTATTATCATTATCATTATTATTATTATTATTATTATTATAATTATTGTTATTATTATAGTTCAGTTACGATCTGGGAATGTTGCCTTACATTGGTTATAAGCCAATTATTGTATAGGGCTATAGAATATAACGACTAACCATACATATAATTATTTCATCTTTTTTTTTAACTTTCATTCATTCATTCTTTCTGTCTCTTATACACATCTAGATGTGTATAAGAGGTCGGCTGATATTCAGAGCCCTTTTAAATATAAAATAGTGTGAAGTTTTATAACTAAAGTGTAAGTATAACGGGCTTAAGGAGTGGAGATGCTGTTAGTCACAGGTTTTGAAAAGTGATCCTGGGATCGGAAGGCAAGGTTTCTTAACCACCAATTACAATGGGCATCTCCGCTTAGCAACAACAAACTATGAACTACAATGATGTTAACCATGATTTAAATGCAAAAAAAAAATTATGAATGTAGTGAAAATCGCTAAAATTACCCAGTTTATTGTTACATCAAACTTCAAGGCCATATCTCTTATTATTATGGGATTTTTTTTTTCAATAATATCTATAAATAAAATAGGTAGGCCTACCTTAAAAATGATTAGCCTATGTTTAATTTCCACGCTCAAGTTAAAAAGGCGAAATTGATTAAGTTTAGGCTTTTAGTAGTTTGTGAACTACTGCCTTTTACTGTCCAAATATTATAAAGCTTAAGTGATTTGAATTTTGATTTGATAATTTTAATTTTTAAAAGTATATATCGACCTTGCAGCGCTATACACGATCTGTCAGCCAAATATAAAATGACTACAGGAAGCATCTATCGAACAAACATTGGATTTAAACTCATTTCAAAGCCACTAGGCTAATTTTGTTGACAAGTACCTCTTTCTCTGTCACAAAAAACAAAAAAAAACAAAACAAAAACAAAACAGTCAGCAAAAATATTATTAGTTATCAACATTAAAGCACGATTAATGAATGTATTATGTGAGCAGCTAAGTTATAATTACAGTTCCAGCTGCGTGGCGGGTTAACCTGCTCACGAGAAGTGCATGGAACCCCACTCTGTCTGATTATGTCATTTATCGTTCCATACCGTCAAAATACATGTTTCCCATTAACTAAACATCACACACTGCGGTGTGCTCGCCAAATACTCTTGAGAATTATTTTTTTCCGGCTTGTCAGGGTCAGCTCGGTCCGGTATGTCCCCAATTACGCGAAATGTAAATCACTTTGAACTAATAGGGCTATACCGCTGGAACAGCACACATCATCGGATAGTAGACGTTTCACATTGTAGTAGTGGTAGGGCGTCCGAGAGTCCAAAACAACCTTCTTGGATGTAAGTACTTAATTTTAGGTTAAGAACAGAGAAAATATAAAATATATATATATATATTTTCTTTCTCTATTCTTCCGTCTATTGATGAAATACAAATGATGCAATTGAATTCAATTGAAATACAACTAGCAAACAATTAGGCCTAAACTATACTAAATTAAAGAATCAACGCAGTGCAGACCTAACTTTATCCCTTTCCGACTAGTTTGCCGAAGTCCACTTTGCCGAACTCAGTTTGCGGAATACCAGTTCACCGATCCAAAATCATGACAACATTGCCGAAACCCAGTTTGCCGAAATTCACTTAAAAGCTATGATACAGACCAAACTAGTTTGCGCATGCACGATAAATGTGCGACACAAAATAATTACATTCTAGGAATGTATCAAAATATTTTCAATAAAATAATGGCCCATGTTATTATAAAACAAATGGGTACAATGGATTAATTTTCTAACATAACTTGTTCATTTTAGCCAAAAATCTTACGTTGTCGTAACTTTAAAATACCTAATACGTGTACAAAACATCAACAACAATTCTATTTGTAATCAGTTGAGTTTAGTTACTTAAAGATTCGTTGTTCAAATGCACGTACGGAAGGCCTACGATGGCTATAGATAGTATATTATTTATATAGAATGTGATTCGATTTTAGTTTGACAGCTACCTTGGCCAAGGCATTGAAACGAACCAGGGAACGTCGTGAGAGTGGTTAATTGGACAGGCGACTACTGATGATTCAGTCAGTTCCTTTATCATCTATTTTGTACTGTATATTTAACTTATTTAACTCTAACTGTAGGCCAATTTCAAGCATGTTACAATGCAGGAGTATAGTAAATCAAGACGAGTGGTGATTGGTCATGGTCAATATACAATACAACAAGAATTATCTTTCCAATATTACATATACTGTATTAATAATAATATGATAAATGGATATACTTTCAAACACTAGCAAACCATAGTTTTCGTTCAGTGAAATTCTCTACCATTAAAAACCAATGTATTACATGTTGTCGTTCACACAGAAAAACTCTCTAACCTTTCTAAACTAACTTTATTAACTGGGAATATTGCCTTACATTGGTTATAAGCCAATTATTGTATAGGGCTATAGAATATAACGACTAACCATACATATAATTATTTCATCTTTTTTTTTAACTTTCATTCATTCATTCTTTATTTAGTCAATAACTTTCCTTCGTCCTAAGGTGTTTATGCACAGCGCCTTATTTTAGCAACATGTATTTCATTTATTCAATATCAGTGATTCAATCTAGCTCAGAAACACAAACAGAGCCAATGGAATTGAACCAGACACACAGGCATGCCCGTGATTCAGGAATTTTAATACCTGCATGTATCGACCACTTACCTACTTCATTGCTGTTTCCTTCCGGAATTGTAACCGGCCTGTCGACCCGTTTATCGTAATTGCACATGTCATCCGTGCAACATTGCACAGCCAATATTTCACGCGTGTTATTAATATGTTCCTTCGTTTGGCACAAATTTTCTGGTAAATCCTGCACACAACCGTGTCTATATGGACGGCTGCCTTGGAACGGGTCTTCGATAAATTCTGTGTAACAACCGTCGTCAGACTTGCACATATAACTGTATAATACGCAACTTGGTGCGTTGCAATAGCAATGTATTTCTCCTAAAAGAAAATATAGAGAATATAATTATTGATATTTCTCGTCTAAAATATTAGGCCTATATTGTACATACTTTACTTCATAATTATTATAGGCCTATTTTGGCCGTCATAATAGGAATTGTCAATTGTTACGGTATTTCCATACCAACTTTTCCCAATCCATACTGAAGCCGCTGTGATCTACCCGTCTGTCTAAAAAATGTAAATATTTTGACCCATATATCCTTGATTGGATGTGATGCTCGAAAATATTGTACTAATTACGTAATATTCTAAATGTACGCGCTATATAGACACGCATGCGAAGTCTGAGAAAATTCATATCAGTGCAGATAGGTGATAACATCTCATTAAACTTTAAATATGATGAGTGAAGAACGTCTAGATAAACGAGAACATAGGCCTAATATAACATATATCATCACACACGCTCCTAGTAGAGGTGTGTGTGTGTCCGAAATATTGGAATTGTTTAATTCGAGTTCAATTAGTATTCGAAAACACATTGATTTCACTCTCTCTATAAGCCTCTTGTGACTTTACTCACATTATTGTCGACTTATTTTTATATACTTCTCTCAAGAGTGCAGTGAAAAAGTACATGTTTTGCGGACTAATTACACAAGTTATTTTATGGACTATTAGTAGTATTGCTTGTGTTTTCAGCCTATTATTATTAGTAGAGTGTGGAATATGGAAATAACGATTGTGTCGACTTCGTTTCTGATTGAAAAAATGTATACAAATACGCCTTATTACGAAAGCATCGTAATTTTAACGTATTCATATGAACTGTATCTTACGGACAGCCACAGGGAAGAACAGTCTGGTCAATTTGCATTAAAATAAAGTTGTTTAATGTTATGTTGTTTTCTTTATACTGTACTTCATTTACCTTCGTATAAACGTATACTTTCAAAATAAGTTTTCGCTAATACTGTATGCGAACTATTTTACTAAATCTACGGTACTTATTTATAATTATTAGTACCACGCCACCCATTAATGTAACAATAACAGTATCTTTTCCCAGTACAAATTACGTGGGAAACAGCTCAGTTCAAAAACTTTATAAGTCTGCCAATATAAGTAACATAATATCTGCGATAATAGACGACCAGAGAAACACTAACAAAAGTTAAGTCAATTTGCATTATAGGAACTTCTTTGACGTCTATAAATTTGCTATTTTATTACTGACTGAAAACAAAGACAGTTTTCCGACGGTATTCAACCGTTTGACTGCAGATTCTCAAAGCTTTTGTGTACAGGCGGATCATATGTCCTCTTACCTACCAAGCGAGCAATTGTTTTTCTTAGCACAAAACATCGAAAATTGGTCACTAAGCCACTAGTCTGTAACTAAAGAAAGGGATTCTTTGTAGAATATGGTGGTGGTAGGAGCCAGATGCTGAAAACCCAAATCTAGAACAAAACTCGTGTGAATGATAATAGCGATGAAAACGTTCAGTGCTTAATCGATCGATGTCTATGTAACAAATACATGCGCATTTGCAGCCAGTGACTGGTTCCACGGCGGACTGGCGACATCGTAGAATTACAATTCAAAAAGGATGAACTCAAGTATAACACATTTATTTCATTTCTACGTACTTGAATTCTGTCTAGATCTATTATACTACCCAAGTCAGGTTCATTTCCCACCACTTTGATAGGACCACTAGTTTTTACGACTGGCGTTATGTTGTACTACCACAAATGCTATTAATATTATACATTAACTACTATAAACTCCGTACTACTCTGCTGCTGCTACTACTACTGACAGCACTAGTTACTGCTGCTACTACTACTACACTTTTTTTTAAATAAGAACCAGTAAAATTTTGCCCAGGCTCGGTGTTCTTATTTTTTGGCCAATTTCAGGTTCAAAATGTTTTTATTTTGTTCTTATTTTACACACTTTTCAAATATAAAAAATTATTATTGTACAGCAGTATACACTGTACTGGGAGGTGAAATCGGCCCTGCAAAAAATGGCCTCTGAATGTAAGGCCCAACAAAAAATGGCCCCACAAAAAAGGCCGCGGCTAAAATTGGCCCCATTGGGAGGTAGGTACACCTACTGTACTGTATAATAGAGGGTATTGCATAGTCACACCTACTGCACATAAGGTACAGATATATTTTTTTGGTTTTTCTAGTTTGACATTCTACCTCAGCCTCAATTTGTTCTTATTTTGTTCTTAATTTTTAAGCAATTTCAGCCTCAGTGTTCTTATAAAAAAAAAGTGTATTACTACTACTGATGCTGCAACTGCTATCATCACCATCAACACAACTATTTGTAGTATTATTTGTTAGTACATACTTCAGATATTGAAATATTATTAGGATAAAGCTGAAGTGTTTGATAGCAGTTTAGGTATCACTTTCTATAGATGAAAGATTTAAAACCTGTTGTATACGATTGATAGATATATTTATCGTTCTTACAATTCAACATAATGCAGGTAATTTCGGTTAATGTTTTAGTTCCTTCAATATAAAGCATTTTAATAACCTTTATTTATTTTTTCATTTATTTATTTTTCTTAAAATTTAAAGTTGCATTATTCCGAAATAGATTTGCAAGTCTATTGCCATTTCTCCTTAATACCACGGGAGTTGAATATGATATTTCCCTCTTTATAATAACACTGCAAAAAAAAAAAACTTTATTAGGTCAGCGAACTCAGATATTTAAATTTAGTTATCATCAACCATTAAAAAGCAATTAGTTTCCATTACTGTTCGTTCGCCAGACAACGGCTGCATTGAGAATTACAATCGTTGAGCAAATCGATCAGAACTGAGGACGAGGCGTCCACTGTCTTCTGATTTCCACTGTTGAAATTGGCAAACAAAAGGGACTAAAAGTTGCCTTTTGTCTTAAGTGATAAGCCAAAAATTATATGGCGATTTTCGGGCGGCAGTTAAGCGAGGTCAGTCGATTTTGTATGCGTTTTCTTTACAAATGATTTTCCTCTCAAATGGAATAACGTAACCAGCGGACATACGATACCCTAAGGTGGTCACGACTTGTGTCTCGGTTCCAGTTTACTTTATGAAATATATAATGAGACACAAACACAATCGTTAAACCAATGACTAGACTGGCCAAGGCTATAATATAGTCAGTCGTCTGGTGATATTATCATCATTACTGCTTATAACAAAAGACAGGTTAACAAAAGCAACACGAACAAAAAACGAAAACACAAACAAAAGAATTGAATATTATCCTCATCATCATATTATTATTATTATTATTATTATCATATGCATCGCCCTCATATTCTCATCACGATCGTTACCGTCATGATCATGATAATCATCATCTAATCATCATTACCGCAATCATCATCATCGTCATCATCATTACTATCATCATGACATCATTAACACCACCAACAATTTATCATTTCTATCATTATTAATTTGGTGTCCGACTATCAAAATTTATTTAGATACCCAACCATAATTCTTAAACGCAGAGTTGCCCTAAGACAATGAGTTTTTTAGAAAGAGGCAAGTCATATGAATCGTTGCAATTGGCCAGTACGGCGTATGTAAATGAAAGTGAAAGAAAGAGCATTAGTCGGTCTACAATACAGAATGAATATTATACCGTAACATCCACAAGTATTCTCTTTAATTACAGTACAGGTTTAATAGATCTACCATTCCATGATACACAGGCCTGATAAGACCGTAATTGTTTCTACGAAGACCTTAAAAATAACGACTTGATTATTAGTCGGGTAGGGCGGCATGTTAACCACTGATACTCTCCAGTGCCTGGTAACTGCAACATGATTAGGGTACTGTACAGTATTTTTAACCATAGAGGTCCTTACCTCCATGAAAGTAACGTAAATAAAATGCCAACTTAAGTATTTAGCGATATCAATTGAAATTGAGCAGAGATGGAATGCTGTTATCGTAAAGCCACAAGAACATGCAACACCATCCGGTAAAGAACCCAAGATGGTTGATACTTTTTATGTTTCCAGATAGTTTTTCCTCGCCTCTGGGCATTATGGCGTTCACTACATCCGGCGACTGTAGAATGGTAGAATGGTCAGTACAGACATGGCGGAAAAACAAATCAGATATGGTTCAGACACCTATACACGTGGTTAAAACTCATCCGAACTCTGAGACAATCAAGCTCGTTTATGATTAAAATCAATTACGCATAAAATCAATACAACTCCGCGTGTTTGGATAAAAGATGGGCTGGTAATAAATATCAAATATGAGCTTGAACAGTGGATCTCCCCGAGCTGGGATCCATGATTAGAGTAGGCCTATACATTATTTGTATATGTTTATGAACCTAAAATATTGATGAGTATTATCTATATTCTTTGGTATTATATGCTTTAACAATCCTGAAGATATTCCCGAATGATTGACACGACACAAAATATTATATTCCATCGCGTTACTAGGAAACGCATTATCTGTTTTAGAGTGTCACCATGGCTAGCATTTCGGATAATTTACAATTGCAGTCACTACTATAATACGCGAGTCATTGTATTGCAAAATGGACGATTTAAATATAATGCATGTTCACGGCAGTTTCGTATAATTATTGCTCCGAGATCACCAAGAGTAGACACACCGTGAACATGATCTTCACTCGACGAATAGATTTTCCTGCCTACAGTTTCGTTGATTGATGACATGATTACTATATCTGTTACCGCTACACTCGAATGTATATCATTACCGATAGATTAAACTGGATGGTGTTCAGCAGGTCCATGCCCCGTCGACGAGTAACATAAATCGTCATAAATTTGCAAAGTGTTTGAAAGCTTTGTGCAACAACACCTCAGCGCAAACAGTAGCATGGATTACCAGTATCATAGCATGAGAATTAGAATTAATATTCCAGCGATTTTATAACTTAGGGAATGGGGATATTCTGTCCTAATAAACATTATAAACTAGGTTGATTTATTATAAAGGAAGAAACGGTTATTGTT